CCCGTGCCTAGCGCTCGTCACCCCGGTCCCCGGATGCCGCGCATTCCGACGAAAACTTGGGTGTCAGAAACAGGAAAATGTCTGGCCGTYGGCCCTTTTCCTGATTTATGCGCGTCACCCTGGGCGCGAGCCACGCTACTTCTCTGTATCGCTCCAATTCTGATGGATGTCCCGAGGGTCCTGCCCGGGGTAATGCTCCGCGGCAGCACCAAATGGCCGCTCGACCTATTGCACGGGGAGGGTGGGGCGGACACCGTCCTCCTAGCCACTCTGCACGCACCCCGCTGGTCTGTACGTACCCGGTGCGGTCTGCGTCCGGGCTCGTTCCGGACCCTTGCGCACCATCCTTGTTCAGGGGCCATGCTAATCTCCTCGGTATCGTTCCAATTTTAACAGATGTCCCGAAGGACTTTGGCCGGAACAGTGCCCCCAYGGARGTGCATGGGCCACTCGCCTTGTGGCTTGACCGTTCGTGGGTGCGCCCACTACGGCAGGCTCTCGGCCATATCCCGAAAGAAAACGGGACCCAAAAAAAAAAAGAAATACAACAAAAATAATAATAAAAAAAGACAAAAAAAAAACCGTTTTATTACGAGATCAAAAACGGGAACTGGGAGCTACTGGCACCTCGCCAGTCCCTTAGGTCGGGCCCGTCACTACGTATGTCACAAAAACTGAGGGGGATAGCCCCGTCGGGCCCTCAATCCCTCGGTTTTCTCCTCGATGCTCCGCTGCCACCGCGCCGACGTCTGCCGGCCTCGATCTCCGAACCTCCGTTGTAATAGTCCGATGCCGTAACCTATAGCCCAAGCCTGAGACCAGAACACGCCGAGTGCCATATAAGACGGTGCGGCGCGGCGCTTTGGGCAACAAAAACGGCTGCGCGGCTCTCAGTGCCCACGCTGACTTGCTTATACCATGCCATATTTGCCCTGCGCGCCATCCTACGACATCCTGCTCACCACACGAAATCGCGTCGTTATTGCCGATGCCGTTGCCGGGGTCGTTCTCCGCACACGCGCTTGACCTACTAATAAAAAAAGAAAGTATCCTTAATCCCTGCTTAATAAATAATAATAATATCACCAACCGAAACGTCCGAGGTCCGGGCCGGCTTTACGATAAAATAACAGAAAAAAAATCACGCGCGCCTTAAACCTGCGCGCCCACGCACTCGCTATTGTGGTCAACCACCCAGTCAAAGCAATTACTGACGCTGCCGCGCTTAGCGCGGTATACTTAGACTCTAGACCAAACTATTTTCTGTCACTTGCAAAAACCAGGGCGGATACCCTTGTAAGGGTATTCGCACCGACAGCTTACCGGACCATATTAAGCGACGTCCCCGTCGCTTCGCCAAATCAAAAAGCTATAAATCCATCCATATTCCAAATGCTGACGAAACATGAGCCAATCCGATTAGCCCACAAACACAGGGTAGAGGTCTCCATCAAACCATGCCTTTATAACTATATGCTGCCAGGTTTCTAACCTGGGCCTCACACCGTTCAGAAATTAGGACACTGGCAGCATAAGTTCCAAAGACCTTCCCAATCGTCCTCTCCCCGGTCCTAGGCAACCTTCGGCTTCTCGTTGGGTGTCCCAAGTCCTGGCAAGAACTAGGGACACGGGCCTTAACCGAGACCTTTGAAGGCACTCTCGCCTTCTTTCTCACAATTTTCTCGCAATCAAATACACGCAAGCATATATGTATACTTAATATTCGCTCAGCTCTTTCTGCAGTCTAGTACAGAAAGGCTAGGTCTCYACCTTGGCCCACCATAGCCTGGCTGATCGGACTAGGACCACGACCCACCGCATTGTTATTTAACGGCAGTACCTTCGTTGGTTACGCAACGATAGGTTTCCTCCTGGTAAGCACTCAATCAGGATCTCCCCCCAAAAAATTTCAACCATCATTATCCCGTGGAGTGATTTCACCGGAGCGGGCAACCCCCCTTAAACTCTTACCCCGCGGTCCCGCAGCCAGGTTGCGCCGGCTAGCAGCCATCCAATGGGGTTACGCCCTAGAGGTACTAACTTCCCGCAGCCAGGTTGCGCCGGCTAGCAGCCATCCAATGGGGTTACGCCCTAGAGGTACTAACTTCTTTTCTGTTAGCTTGGCCTTTCTTCAATACGTCCTAGAACTAGCACAGGTGGTTAGACGGGACGTCGCGAAACAAAATCACAGGCCCACTGCGCGATACGCAGGGGTCCGAAAGCATTTACCAGCCCTCCTTCAATAGGCATGGCATCCTTCGCACGCTTACAAGCAAAATCACCGCTAAATCCACCAGGCCGTGACCCCTGACTTGATCAGAGCCAGCARCCACCCACCCTGAGACATCTTTCGCCCTGTACTCATTGCGACTTTCTCAATCATTGCAAACAAAAAGTGACCCTTTTCGTCAGACTTTATCACCCATCAAACAATTCGTCATGCCATAAATCAATTTACTCACTTCTGAGGATGAGTCTTCCAACAAAAAACCACTCCCCTTTTCCAACAATCCAAAAGGGGCTCTCTTCATAAACAAAACATCCCCTCTTCAAAAAATCGCGGGGGGTCTCGCCATAAAACAATACATTCCCTCTTTCAGAAATCACGAGGGTCTCATCATAAGCCAAACACCCCCTCTCTCAAAGTCACGAGGGGTTTCGTTACATCACAAAACATCATAAAACATCCTTTTTTTTTTTCAAAATTTAAGGGGGTCCCATCATAACACAGAACTTCACTGAGAGACCATCTTATGTGTCTTCATCACAACTTAGATAACTTTCACAGACGGACTGCGCTTCCTCCCCTTATACTCTGCCTTATCAGCTGTCGTGGGCAGGTCGAACAAGTATACCGAGGAGTAGACAATTTTGCTTACAATCATATTCACAGTACCCTTGCCACATAAGATGTTTTTCACACATTGTCCACACAAACTCATCATTCATCAGAGTACAACCACACATGTGAGAGGAACAAGTGATCGTCACATATAAGAATGGTCCCTGAAATAAAACCTCATCGTAATATACACTCAGGGAATAAAATGTCTCACACAGAAAGTGTCTCCAAATCATAGCTCACTCAACTCAAGCTACCCCAATCCCATATTGACAACAACCCCTAGAATACATATCAAATCTGTCTATCAAAAGCCAGGGCGTAGGCCACCTGAATATGTACATGCCTCATCTAAACCACCCCGACCCTCAAAACCCTAACTCAGTAGAAACACTAGAGTTCAGATCTAGATTAACAGCAATCATCAAAATGTCTTCTAAGTCTAAGAGGGTATCACACAGAACCTAAGTTGATGCCTCACAAAACGCTCGCTCACTTATATAGACAAAACCGGCCCTACCTCCTCAACTCCTCCTGGTTTTGCCTATATAACTGAGCCCTAAGTCCATCTGCGGACTTCTCTACTATCCTACCCTGTCTATCATACATTTTACCCCCTACCTCTGAGATCTTCCCCGCTGCCTTATCCTCAAGAAACTCGAGACAGTCCAAACCCAGATGCATGTCCCTCTTACAGTAAAAACATAGTTGATCTACCTTTCTCTTGAACTTCTTCTTCCTGGGCTGAGGAGGTGGCGATGAAGGAGATCCCACCAAGGTACCGACCCCCCCTGCTGCTCTGATCGAGGAGCTGCGGTACTAACGACTTCCTGCTGCTCTGTCCCCGGAACCGGTCCACCAGACCCAGATCCAGTAGCCCAAGATCCTATTCTGCCTCTCAAATCCTCTGTTGCTGGGACGTATTCGGGCGTGTCCAACCTTTGAGGCCTCCTCTCGAGTGTCGCCTCTGGCACTGCCGTGGGCTGCTCCTTAATCTCCTCTGGTCCATACTCAGGTGTGCCTATTCTCTGGAGTCTGCCCTCGATGGCACCCTCCTCCTCAATCCCCATCTCTCTCTCAAGAGGCTCCTCTATCCTCTGCTCAGGTGAAAACAAACTCACCTCCTCCTGCATAGTATGCACCGCCTCAAGGAGCACGCCCATGGATTCCTCTACTGAGCCCTGAACCGGCTCACTGCTAGATGGTGGCAGCCCCTCCTCTACTGCCAAAGGTACGACTGGGCCCGCCGCTGCTACTGGCAGTGTCGTGAGCTTGGTAGGGACTGTGAACTCGAACGCCTCTCTCTCCGCCCGTCTCTGTGCTCTCGCCTCCTCTGACTCCAGGATAACCCTCCCCATAGGTGGCTCCTGGCGAGGCTCTGTCGCAGATGGCTGTCCTGGCAATCCCTGTCTTGGCTACCTCTGCTCTCCCTGCCGGCTGCTCTCTGGTCTGTCCACCTTTCCCTGGGTTTGCTGCCTCAGGCTCTCAATGATAGCTGCCTGGCTGACCACCAAAGCCCTAAGTTCCTGAATTTCCATCTCCATAGCCTCCAGACGTACTCCATGGCTGGCTTCCTTCATTTTCTTCCCCGCCAGATCGCCCTCCAATAACAAGTGCCGGTCAAAAGTGGTCTTGGCCAGGAACTTGATTTTACGATTTAACCTTTCTTCCGCCTTCCTGGCCACCCCAAACCCGGCTCTAACTGGCGATGGAAGCTCCTCTCCTCTCTGCTCCCAGAAGTCTCTCCACATCTCAGGAATCTCCGGGGCCTTGGCTGGCACGCTGGGTGGCTGACCCGGGAGTGCTCCTGCTGCCCCTGATCTCTGCCTCTCCTGCTGCTGCTCCGGGAGCTCCCCCGTTGCCTCCAACCTCTGCCTCTCCTGCCATATCTCATCTATCCGCCTGGTTCGTCTCGCCCTCTTTTCTTCAGCCGTCTCTCCAGCTGGCTTTCCCTCGTGCGGAGATCGACCCTCTTTGGGATCTCTGCTTCCATCTCCTTCTCGGGTTGGCATGACTCCTGACGTGGCTCTGCAGGTGCTGGCTCCTCCAGGTCTGGGTGCTCCAGGGCATGAGCTGCTAGGTGCCTATCAATCAGGATCAAAGCTTCTCTCCTTACAGCTGCCCTCTCTT